ATAAAAAAATGAAACTGTAAAAGAAAAAATAAAGCGCTAATGCAGGTTAATTTTCAGGAAACCTACCGCTGGGCTATCTCTTTCTCCTTGTCATTGAGGGGTTCAAAATATATATATCCACATAAATACAGAAAATTACCTTATATATACAGTGTAATTGTTTACCGAGGGGGGTTCGGGTGAACCCCCTGGAACCAACGTGGGTCCGCTCCTGGTTATCGGTTTAACCATTAACAAAAATCATAAAACCGAAAACCGAACCAATAACCCAATAAAAAATTTTGCGAAACCATTTAAAAACTGTTAGCCCAATAACCCAATATCAATAAATCAATAGTGTTTTTTTGGTTCGATTTATCGGTTAAATCGGTTTTTGCACACCCCTACATAAAACCACATAGATCCGCAACCCGCCCCGCCCCACATTAAATTTTAAAAATTCAACGTTCCCCGTACAACCTTAAACCCGCCCACCCCACATTAATTTTTTTTAAAACCCACATCAACCTGCCCTGTACAATCTTAAACCCGTCCGCCCCACATTAATTTTTATAAAACCCACATTAACCTGTCCCGCACAACCTTAAGCTCACCCCGCCCCACATAATCTTAAACCCATCCCACCCTACATTTTTCCGTCCCATTGCCATTTCTAGTCCGACCATAACAAATAATATATATGTTAGCTTTTCGTGGACCATTCATTATTAATGTAAAATGATTATATTATTCAAAAATCACTAGCCACGTGATATGTATGACAAACTTTATCTACTATCAATAAAAGTGATTTATTGTCGATATAAATATCTATGACTAAAAAGTTCCAATGGAGAAAATTCAGTTGAACTTTTTAAATAAACATCGTTTCACCATCAATGCAACTTATCTTATTTAATTGTCCTCAATTACAAACTAGGAAAATTTTAAAATAAAGTATAGAAAAAATTTCAAAATCGCACTAATGGATCGATCTATTCCGGTATTAAACTTCAATACTTCATATGTATAGAAAATTAAATTCATTTTTATTAATAGTACATGCGTTTGGTACATTGTATGAACAATAATGGATCTTTTGGTAAACAACACCATAATACCATATGTATATGGGAGGTAGGAAATATGGATATACATGAATTGAGTTGGTTTAAATTTCTCACATAGTTTCGAATTTTTACTTTGTATTTTCTTAGGTTTTCAATTTTTTTCGATAAAGTGTTCATACAAATATTTATTTAGAATTTATTGCATATTATATTATATTATATTCATATGCGAAGCCAGAATAAAGAATTTGAGGTTCTCAATTTCCTTTAGAACCGTCAATCAATTTTGTTAGGTTACAAATTTATATATATAAATATATTATTAATAATAATTCTCTAGTACAAATACATATGCTACGAAAAATTCATTGGGTTCCTCAAACCCACGACCCCTACGTAGCTCTGTCTCTGATTATATTAAATTATATAATATTATATATTTTTTGTAATAACATCTCACTATAATAGTCAAAATGTTTCTAGACAAACAACGTTATTATAAAAAAAATCCTAGTCTATATATTGTTGAATTCATAGAATTTGCCCTATATGCCTCCTACACTGAACCATACAAAAACCAATTAGAATTTCACTTCCCCTTCAACAACTAATTAGTAATTACCACATGATAATTAAGAATTTGTACTTTTAGACTTTGGTGCAACTTAACATATATACATATAATAATTCATTTATAATTAAACAAAACTCTGGATGGTAATGTTTGTATTACATCAGTGGGTTAGTCATCTCTTTCCACTCTCACTATTTTTATATCTCTAATACTTTGTGCTAGTTTATATTTAATTTCCTCTATATCATTTTACGTGACATTTTATATTTTGAGGTTCAAATTACATAAATATTGAGTACTTTTCATCATATTGATGTAAATAAATTTGTAATTTGTAGTAATATTAAATTAATTTAATTCAATTTAAACTTTAAGAATCAATTAAATCAGCTCTCGAAATTTTTTAAATTTAGCATGAATTGAAAAGGAGGGAGTATATGTTCTCTTTTAAGTGAATCTTCTTATTTATTCATCTATTTATTACTCATGATAATATATATATATATATATATATATATATAACTATTTCATTAATTTTAATCCATGATGTCTTATTAAAATATTGTTCATTTTTGTTGCAATACATTATTGCCCATGTTTGACAATGCTATCACAAGGTCTAGTGGAAAGCATCGCCATCTTGATAAGATTGAAAATATAGTATGTGTTATACAATAATAAAAATATGTCATTCTATAGATATTATTAATTCCACAAATGTACCTCCTTCAATACTTTTTCTATATATATATATAGGGATTGTCGTAGTGATTTAGAGGGTTTAAAATTAATTTTGAGATTTCAATTAACTTCTATGTACTATTTTTATAATTTTCAAATCTTCTTAAAAATTCTAGATTCGCTACTACTCTTATAACTTCTTCCAAAACATATCTCAGTATATTTCTTTTGTTCTTTATTTATCGATGTTCAAGGTTTAATTTGTAATGATTATCTTTTGCATGACGCCGTGTTATTTCAATCCCTGCAAAAACTTGTGTCTTTGATAGAAAACTTTTTACCTCCCAAAGTGAAATTTTACAAGAAAATTCAAATTAATCAGACTTTAAATTGAATACGTGATATGACTAGATTTTTTTGTTTCTGAAAAGATCGATTGTGGTAAATTAGGGCACACATGTCTTGACCTTTTATTAGGCAACAAAACCAAAGACAAATTCAAGTGAAGGTGATTGAGCTTTTATACGGGCCACGAATATCTAACTTCATGCTTTGCGACGTGATTATCGTGGGATGATTGGGATCCCTCCATTCTTAATCATTCGAAGTTCCGGATGTGAGCCCGAGTATAGAAAATAAATTTGGTGAGAGCATCATCCCCAAAAAATAAACCCTATAATGCAGGAATCTGAATTAGTCTAATTCTAAATTCTATAATATGGATACCAAACACGAAATAAAAAATAAAAATTTGATACTTATCATTTGGTTTCGTTGTCCTTGAAAATGATATTGAGAATGAGAACACAAGACTTTAATTAAAAGGGATATGATATATCTATATATCTACTATATATAAGAAAAATAGCACTATTATGTTAAATGTGGAAGGATTTGATTATAAAGAATAAATATTTGTCACATGTGAAAAGATATGAGCATTTTTATACTTAATATACAAAGTAGAAGTGTTCTGTCAAATGAACTATTTCAGCGCAATGACTAAAAAGAAATTTCATATGCAATTTAAGATATACAGATTACCAAAAATGTATATATTGTTTTTTTATTTTTTTATTTTTATACAAAAAAATGTATATTCTCTGTTGCAAATGTTAAAAAAATAATTAATTATAAGCATATTAATTTTAGAAGTTATGTATTAGTATATTAAGTCGTTATTTTACTATTCAAAATTTATAAAATTGAAATTCTGACTTCTATAGAATTCATAAAATTGAAATTTTGACTTGTATATGATTAATGAATACCAGTTCTGTGGGAAGAAAATGTGATTTTTTGTCAATTACTGTACACATGGCTAGAAGGGCATCTAAAAGATTGTTATTTTATATTAATAATATAGTAACAAATACTATTATTATTGGAGGAAATTCAGTTGAACTTTTAATTAAAATAAAGTAACGAAAATTTTCAATCACACTTCAGATTCTACGGATCGATAAAATCATTTAATTAAGAGAAATTTTTTAAAATGACTATAATTTGGTTTGATCAGAAATTTATAGTTCTAATTTTAGATATTTACCATTCATAATAATATATTAAGGAGAGACGAACAAAATTGGGAGAGAGATCAAGAAGAAAGGCAGACAAGATATGGGAGAGAGAAGGATGCTAAATACATGATGTACTCGACGAATATAATTTTTATCTACGAATACAATCTAAATTCGATAAATACATATTGCTAAAAATTGATATATACAAACTGACACAATTGGTAAACAATACCATAACATTGTATCATATGTATGAGAGGTGTATTTAGAACTTAAAGTATGTGAGAACATAATAAGCATAATTTTATTAAATAGACAGACATTTTCAAATCAGTCCTTCTTTATAACAATAATTTGTTATAACAATCTAGCTCTTTTAGAATCGATGTCATAATATGTTACATAAAGAAAACTCAAATGTATTTATATATTTAGTTTATAAGTTTATTTTTTTATATATGTACATATATTAAACCATATATATATATATATATATATATATATATATAAATAAAAATTCATAAACCAATTATAGTTTCACTTTTCCTTTTAACAACTAATCATTGAATATGAACTTTATACGACTTGTCAACTTTTGAATTAGAAAATAATTATTGTCATAGTGAGTTTACCATTTTACCCCTATTAATTATGAAGTGGATAAATAAAAAACTTAAGATTTTCAAGTTCTACATTTTTCGAAGTAATTAATTGAGGATATAATAGGTAAAAAAAAAATTGTCCTTCCTTGATTTGTCAAAATGGACAAGTAATTAGGGACAATTAAAAAAGGAAAAGTGAACAAGTAATTAGAAACAGAGAGGGAGTACTTCTTAATACACACTATTTGAGCAAAAGTTACTGGATTCAATCGAATTCGTACGTGGACTTCTAGCTCCACCCCTGGTCAAGATTATTTTTCATATATATATAGTAAATATTGAACCTCTTGGACTTTTTCATGTGCTTGCCTTTTCATATATACGAATGAGTAGAAACATTGCCATCTTGTTAAGATTGAAAATACGAGAAGAAACTTTATCATTCTAAAGCCTAAAATTTCTACAAGACAACCCAGATACAACAGAAAAATTGTATGTTGTGATGATCTAAAATTTCTACTAGACAATAACTTACATAAGAATTAAGATCATACTCAACTACTTTTTATTAAAAAAAATTCTCAAATTTAATAAATGTTGATTGACACAAGAACAATTCATATTGCAAAACAAGAAAAAAAATCACTTATTATGAAAAATTCCTAGAATAGGTAAAAAAAATCCCTGTAAATTTTACAGAACTTATGCTCATTACATCACAGATCAGTCAATATGCCTCAATAATGCAATGGTATCAACCAAAACTAAAACAACACCGCGATTTTTTCAATCTGATATCAGTGTATCGAGTTTGCCAGAAGGCCACCTTGGTTACCTCTGAGAAGCTACTGGTAATCATTATGTTTCAAGGGGCTCTGTCAAAGGGCTTAGTATCATTGTAACAAACATCCCAGATAGCTTCCATGGCATCCCTACTCGCAGACTCTGAACAGTTTGGGTTACCAGACATCGATTTCATAACTCTTCGCTTTACACATTCCTTCATAGAGCCAAATGCAGAGGGAAGAAAGTTAGAAACTAATTAACAATTAAGCAACTTCTTGTCATACAAGTACAACAAAAGAATCTATAGAAAGTTACATACATACAGTCTATATGCATTGAAGGATCAATATGAAGTGATGTATGGAGACAAACCTAAAAACCCCTCTTTTCCAATTCGACTTTATCTTTCCGATAAAGCTCATGAATAGCTTGAGAGTTCACAAAATTGTCAACTTCTTTTACCTTTTCATCACATACAGTATCCTTAAGGTACATGCGGTTAACGGCTGAGGTAGATGGATAATATCTTCCGTCTCATGAACCCATACAAGTACTGCAGCATTTGTTACATTCGTTAAAAGATCCTAGAAAGGTCGGTTTCAGGTTTGGTTTTCGGGAAACTTCTGTGCTTAAGGACTACCAAGAACTTTTGGATTAACATCAGCCTTAACAATGTAGATGCTTTTATATGGTTAAAATTTATTGGAAAAATCGACTAGAAACTTTTTCCCTGTTGCTAAATTTTTTCAGGAATCGCCAAGAGGAAAAAACACAAAAAAAACAAGTCAAGTCCTATCAAACAAAACTAATTGGTTGGGAAAAGGGGAGGAGTGTCTGATTGTAAATCACAGAACACAAATGGAGAAGAAAAAACATTGAGCCTAACTCAAACCCAGGAGCTAACCCGTGAGGTAAGACTTGTCAAACACCATATAAAGAGACTGCAGCGTAGGTTCAACCAATGTGAGACTCTTAACACCCTAGGATTGTCTAAAACCATATAAAGAGACTATAACCCATGTTTTTTTGAACTAATGCAGGACTCTTACGTCGGGGAAAGAGACTGAGGAGGGGCTTGTTTCCAAACTATTGATATGGGCCCTCAAAAAGAAATTACATTTTGAGTAGGACTGAGATACAATGTAGGTCAAAACAGTCAAGATAGGGGGAGAACTTAGTAAAAGTGCACTCAATGATGTAATAGCCTCAGCAATTAAAGACAACGGAAGTAACTTTAAGGCATAAGTATGAAAAGAATGACGAGTTGAATCACTGAGAGAAGAACTTGAGACTTGCAGTGAAAGGAGTTGTCAAGTGACCATGATGTTAAAAATCAGCTCAGGCCCACGGACTACTACGAGAGATTAATGTTAACACGTCTGGTGTAGACATAAAGTTCAAAAAGAGCAAGGCCATTAGTACCATGGCGGCAACATAAAAGGCGATAAACTATAAATTATTCAAACTGGCCAAATGTATTTGAAGCTGTTTGTTAAATTGGATAATAAGCCACCCCTCTACTCTTCTCCACTTAACTTGTCTAGAGCAAGGTTTGAACTCATGACGTGCGCCTAAACCCACATATCATGCGATGCGCTCTTAACACTAGTGACTAGACCAAAGCCCTGGCCAAATGTATAATTCAAAGAACTGTATCTTTCACTTCTATAGGTGAAAATCAATGGTTGTGCTAATTAGGGCCTTTATCCCTTTGTCTTTAGCTTTCTATCCATACAAGGATATGTAACTCAGAATAATGTCAAACAGCTAAATAGAACCGCTCAATTCACACTAAATCCCCCCCCCCCCCCCTTCAA